ATCTTGCGTAAAGCTAGGGTGCACTTATAAAAATAAATCGTTACAAACAGAATGTAGAAATAGGGTGAAATGTACGAGTAACTTGCTAAAAATTATGTTACCACACCCTCTGACCCAGTGGGAGGGGGTTGCGTGAGTGAAGGGATTAATCGAAGATCGTAAATATTAACCACTCCCCCTTGGGTAATGTGAATGATGCCATAAGCCGATCTTACTTATGTGGCTCCGTTCTCGCATTACCCTGTTGACTGGCAGACAGTCGGACGGACAGACGGACAAATTCATAGCAAATTCATTCAATTATTCATCCTATACCATAGATCGGAGTACTCCGGGCTTGGAGTACGTACTCCGGCCTCCGGAGGCCGGAGTATGCAAAATATCCGATCTATGCCCTATACTACATAATGGTACATACACTTTGTAAAGTAAATACTCTTTAAATGTAACCTATCTACATTAAGTAAGATAAACTAAATCCTGAACAAAGATAAGATGACCAGGTAAAGACTAATGTACTCTGGATATTACAATATCCAGAGTATTATAATATATTGTAAAGACTATGCACTCTAAACACAACTTATTTAGAGTGCATTTGCTTTTTAAAAGGGTATTATTTTTAAGAGTGTTAACCGAATTGATTAAAAAATTGATGATGCAAGAATTTTTGTAATTTAACAGAACGAGTATATTCTCTGAATTGATACCGCCGTCACACCATGGCAAATTCACAGCATTCAAACTCCTGACTCTTTCGATAAGGATTGATTGAATACAATTACAGAAGTGAAGAAAAAAACGCAAAACTGATTGATTGGCTTGCCCCGAGTCTGAGGTTCATATCAGCTTTGAGCCTGATAAATATTCCATTTAATTATAAGGCACAAATAGAACTAAAGCTAAATAGAACTAAATAGGCTCAAAGCCTACCAGGCATATTATTTAGTTCTAATTTAGAACTAATGTGTCTGGTAAAAATTGTATTTAAATTTTGGCGTTTGAATTTTATTTAACTTAAAATAAAAAAACGCATACATAATTTTGCAAATTGTTGAAATCGTGCAGTTTTTAAACTTATCTTCCTTCTTGCAATTAAGCATTTTTTTATTTTAAGGGGCGGTATAATTTCACCCTTAAAAAGGTTTTCAAATTTTTGTTTGGCTTTGACACCCACTTCCTAAGCAATTACGCAGTTCAAAAATCACTTGAATTTTTCTGACGCTGTAAAAATGCTCAAGTTTAACACAAAAAATATTCCTAAATTTTTTGAAGCTCAGTTCAGTGAGAAATTTTGACTTTCGTGAAAAAGGGAAAATTCAGTTTGGGAAAAACCATTACACAAAAACGAGAAGTTCTAAACTTTTGCAGTTTATGTCAAAATCTAGACAATTTAGTGGCCCAGGGCCTATGTATGTTTAAACAAAAAGCACCTCAAGGGGCTAATAAAATTTTACAGAGCAAAGGGGCCAAATCATAAATAAATAGGGTTTCTGGCCGTATCATATCTATGTTTCAAATCTTTCCCAATCACTAGTGAGACCCGGAAAATTATTAGACCACCTTCAAACTGAGCAAAAAAATTGCTCAGTTTTTCATAATTTTTATTCATGACGTTACGTGTCTGGGATACCTGAGTTTTCCACTGGTTTTCTCATTTTGATAAAACTTCTCATTCACCATTTCGTAAATATAAAGGAGTTCTGTGTTTCACATACATACAATTACTTAAAGTTGAGTCAAACTTATATATATAAGTCGTGACATTTGATTTCTGAAATGTATTAATAGGCAGACAATTTGGAATTGATTGGTATCAATATACGTAAATACATAATTGTGACCTAATTATACCTTTCCAAAGCACGACCGGGTCAAAATTTTTGCTTGTCCACCTCACCTTAAATGGCTCATAAAATCCATAAATCCTCAAAGTTTCTCATTCCGTCAAACTTTTATGTGTAGACAGTCTTAAAGTTTTCGAGTCTTAACGAGCAAATACTTACCTTCAAGCTATGTTGCCCCATAAGTTATCGTGTCGTGTTAGTCCTCCCACTTTTCGGGGGAAATATGTTCCCCACCCTTCAGTCCCATCACACACTCCTGCCCAAGCTCTGCATCGTTTCGCACAATTCAGTAGCGCCCTCTATACGCAGGCGATTTCGTGGAATACTAAAACCTGGCGGCCAAGGCCAACCAAGTTCAAAAAATTGGTCCCGTTCTACTCAATGTCCATCTTACTCGTCTCATGGACGTCCTTCTCATTCTACACCTTGACGAGATGGATCCTGTTTAAGAAAATGGGTGCTTCCGACGTTTCTCTAACAGCTGGAGTACTACTCGTCTTGTATTCCAGTATGAACACCATATCCGTCACCATGATTCTGACAAATGTTTGGAAAACCGAGGAAATTTGTCTTCTTTACATAAATTCTAGACTTCTCAGTCATAAAGTAGGGATCCAACGGGGTAAGAAAATTTACTTTAACTTAGATGTTTCGACTTTCCTAGGTATAAAAATCGTGTATATGTAACATTACAGAATTATTCATATGCACATAAGGTCTTCACAACAGAACAAATTTGTAAAATTCATCAGAAAATGTTTATCGGTTATTGGAAAATTTTTTGGGCAGAATGATTTATTTGCATATGCCAAATTATTTATTCGCAATAGTTTTGGCAGAATTACACATGCACTCAAAATAATCTGGTGTCAATCCAGCGCGGTGAAATCACATATAGACACCGCGCGGTGTTAATTGCCCGCATCAACACCGCGTGGTGTCTATATGTGACAACACCGCACTGGATTGACACCAGTTTATTTTGAGTGTGGCTGGAGAAAAAACTTGCACGATTCTGCAGAAAATTAATGTCCGGTCATCTCTGTCGAAAGGTTTATACATAATTGTGCATAATTCTGGACACTTTATCCACATATAATTTGGAATCGCGCATATTTATTTTCTGGGGACACTTCACCGAAATGTCTGTACAAAATATGGCCAACTTTCGAGAAGGAAAGTTATTGCAATTTTCATCAAATCATTTGCCGTGATTATATGTCGGTAGGCGGAGAATAAAATGAGAAAAGTGCAGAAATTAAAGGTTTATGCTGGAAAATGTTAATTGTTTTAAGGAAAACTACCCCAAATCTCCGATCCATTCGAACTTTTTCATTTCGTTGCATTTTATCGCGGACAGGAGAATACGAGAAAATCGGGGAAAACGGGAGAGGACCCATACAACGATAGAAAAGTTGGAAAAATTACAAAATTTAGGGTAAATTAGAAAGGAGGGAAAATGAGAAACGAGGGAAAAATTAGAAAACTGTGGAAATGTAAACGTTTGTATTTATTACGACAGTTGTTCAACTTGTTTACAGTAAATCGTCCCAGAAATTTGGATCCTCTCGGACTTTTTCTCCATTTAATAATCCCGCCCGTTCTTCTAATCCCCGTAGTGGCCGCGCTTATCCCCCTTCTCCACAACGGTGTCGACCCGTCCCATTTTTTATTCAGAAATGTGACATTTTTTCCAAAATTCGTGACTTTCCTTGTAAGACTAGTCTTCATATTTGTCACATTACTTCACTCAACAATAAGTTTGTTGGGCACTCTCCTATTAGCCGCGAATTGGCTGCTATCCTTTAAATCCTGTTTAACCTCCTTGTTCCTCCAAAGTCAGAAAACCTTACTTTCCAAAAATATTTTTCAAAAAAGGCTCAAATTTCAACAACATTTAAAAACTTATCGTCAACTAGAAATCCTCTCCACGATTTCGAACCAGGTTATCTACTACATCTTGCCGACCGGAATGTTCGTCGTGTTTGTGTGTGCCGTCACTTTAACCTGTTTAGTAATCAAGTTAAATAATGCGATCCCAATTGCCACCACGGTTGTGGCGGCAAGCTTGATTTCAGTAATGTGGGGCATCCCACATTATATTTTCCCGCTATAGTTATTGTTCAATTAGGACGTACGTGGGACCCTTTTATTTTATGACGAGAACGACAAGGACTGAATTTTTCGCCGCGATTTTCTACTATACAGCGTCCTTAGTGATAAATGTGAAAATGTAGCGTTGCGAAAAAAATTCTTCAGGTATTTTAAAAATTGTATAGAGGTTACTCGTTCGTTCTTTACTTATTAAAAATTAATATTTCCTCCTTGTTTACCTTCTTAACTATGGTTGGTGTCCATCCCTATTTATGAATTAAATATATAAATACATAGTATCAAAAACATAAATATGTATGTAAATAGATCTAAGAAAAATGGAAATTTCCACGAATAACTATGTTCCTATAGTTCATCCCTTACTCTTCATGCCTTTATTACACAAGCCAAAACCAGTAATCAAACTCGTAAAAATGATGCCACCTTTTTAAAAAGTGAATGCTCTCTTAATAGACATAATATTAGAGAAACTATTTCAATAATTTACTCGTTAACGAGTTAAACTTACATATTTAGTGTGCATAGTGTAATCAGGATTTTGAATTGTTAATAATTTAGAATTATGCGGTTACATAGGTAGTTAAATAATTATGTAATCACATAATTAAGAATTCGTCTGCTTTTCAAAAGTGCTGCTACATTACTTTTAAAAGATATAGCGTGTATTATATGTGGTCTATATTATCTTCGTCTACCAAAAGTAATCTGATACCAATGTTGGTCCTGTAATCACGCGGCTGAAAGAGTAAAATACAGAAAGTGACATGGATACGACACGGCCAAGGATTTGTGGAGTTTGCATGCGTTGCACACGTGGGGAGAAAATATGCATATGCACCCGCTACATTCTCCGCTGGGGAAAGTCTGGTCACCAGTTCATACCAAGCTTTCTTTACGCGTATTTACGTCCCGAAGTAAATATTGTAGTTGAATTCAATTTCCAAGACGAGTGTAATTATTGCACTGTTGTCGATCTCTGTGTTTATATTTCCAAAAGGATTTTATTCGTTTTCTGCTACGAATTACTACATAAATGACTCACTTCGCATCTAAATACATATTTGTTCGACTAATTTTACTATTATTCATGCCCATATATTTTTTTCCGACTATATATTCTACTACTTCGACTACTCCGGAGAAATTACTACTGGTGAGGTTTCCATAGCAATGGAATTCATACCAAACACTATCAATGTCCATTATTTGTTCCTTCACTCAAATTAAATTAGGGATTTAATTTGCTTATGTATCACCATAATCATTAAAACCCACACGTTTTTTTGCCTACTTGAATATATTTAAAAATCTGGTTGCTATCGACGAGTTTCAATTTATCTGAAGGTTTCTTCGTCTCGAGATCTCCTCTTTCTAAAATTGTCAAAATCTGAACAATATATTTTTTTAATTGGCTACGACCTGTGCTACGACCTCGTTTACTAGAATTTTCAAAAAATTTCCAGTTTAGAGATGCTTAACAATATGCTGATTTTGACGATTTTGGTGGAGAGCACAGCCCCCAATTAACTCAGCGAATGATGACCTACTGCTGGACCTCAATCCTGTTGCCGTGAATGTCTGCAACCTCCACGTGCTCGTCCTCTTCCTCATCCGCCTCTCTGGCCGGTCTCTCCTCGGGTATGAAGAGGTCAACGAACTTCGTCCCAAGGAGAGCATCGTCCGTCCATAAAGCGAGGGATGGTCCCGCCCCGATGAAAGTGTAGTACAGGACAAGTCCCATTTCCCAGATCCACGTGTCTCCCTTAGGTTCGCCCTCCACCCCGGCTACTTCCCGCATCACGATTCTCTCCCAGGTCAACCACATTCCCAACGGGATCCAGATCAAGACGACGACCACGCAGTAGACCCCAAACCGACGGACTCTTCGCAATTTCTCGGCCATCAGCTCGCTCCCGAGATCGGATCCCTTAATGGGAAACAAATGCGATTATCATATTCTACAAAAAAGGAAGAAATTAAGCTAAAAATACAGGAGCGTCCCAAATTAATAATCTGCTAGATGGCGCCACAGTCAATATATTATCCAGATATCGTATATATTCACGCATACCTCTGCCTTTCGTTAATATGTGTATATACTTAGATGGTAACTATAGTAACCACTTTAGTAGGTTGACTAAATTCAGCTCAGCATTGAAAAAAATTCGATGAAAATCCCCCCTCAGTAATTAGACATTTGGGTAAGAAAAACTTTTTTAACAGTCATTTTGTCCCATTTCTTTATCGGGTTTAACTTCTTACCTGCGGCTGTGCTGCCCGTTCAACTAGTTTGCCGTAGTACTCGCGAAAGTCTGAAGTTATATATATAAAAAAATTACTTTTGTGATAATGCACATACAGATGTGCATGTGTATGTATTTCCGATCACTATAATCATTTTGTTGATAGATGCAAATAAATTCTCACCGTGAATGATGCAAGCTGGGGCCATACAAACCAGCAGTATTGCCCGGAGCGTGTCCGCGATGGTGAGCAAGGTATTAAACCGAACGGGATCCTACATTCTCCCAAGTTAGCGTTTAAGCAAATCCCAGTTAATTAATAAATTATATATGCATGGTTTACTACACATTATTCGTCTAACAATGCGATGGTGTGAAGTGTTACGCTCCGATTTGGTTAAAATTTCGAAATTATGTGGTCCATGGCAATACAACAAAAATTTCTTAAGGCGATGGTCGAAATTTGGCAAAATTTTTGAGCCCGAAGTTGAAAAATGGGCGATTTCCAGCACGAGAAGAGAATGGAAGTTAAGTTCGGCATTTATAAAACCACCCCCACCCAAATCCACCCCCACCCCCACCTAAATCCACCCCCACCCCCATCAAATCCACCCCCACCCCCACCTAAATCCACCCCCACCCCCATCAAATCCACCCCCTACCCCCTTCCACCCCCACCCCCACCCCCATCCACCCCCACCCCCACCCCCATCCACCCCCACCCCCACCAACATCCACCCCCACCCCCATCCACCCCACCCTCACCCCCATCCACCCCCACCCTCGTCCACCCCCCCCCACTCCCATCCACCCCCACAATTTTTATGGGGCAACGTGAGATACCTTGGGGCAAAGTGAGATTCTATTTCATATTGGGGTATGGTTCGTAATTAGCGAGCGAAGCGAGCAGGTTAGGTTAGATCAACTAGGTACGCAGAAAGCCTGGAAGGTAGACTTCTAGCTAGCTAACCTAGGTAGCTCTGCCAGCTAGCAAGGCTACCTAGGTTAGCTAGCTAGAAGTGCTACCTAGGTTCTATCTAGCCTAGCTAGCTAGGTTAGCTACCCTAGCTACCTAGGTTCTATCTAGCCTAGCTACCTAGGTTCTAGCTACCCTAGCTACCTATGTTCTATCTAGCCTAGCTAGCTAGGTTTGCTAGCTCAGCCTTCCAGGCTTTCCGCGTACCTAGTTGATCTAACCTAACCTGCTCGCTTCGCACGCTAATTACGAACGATACCCCAATATGAAATAGAATCTCACTTTGCCCCAAGGTATCTCACGTTGCCCCATAAAAACTGTGGGGGTGGATGGGGGTGGGGGTGGATGGGGGTGGATGAGGGTGGGGGTGGATGGGGGTGGGGGTGGGGGTGGTTTTATAAATGCCGGTTAAGTTTGCTTCCTCCAGGTGCTAAAATCGCCCGGTTCTTAACTTTGATCGCAAATATTTTGTCAAATTTCGACCATTGCACAAACTGCCTGAAGAAACTTTCGTTGTATTGACATGGACCACATAATTTCAAAATTTCAAGTAAATCGGAGAGTCGCACTTCACACTATCGCATTGCAAATACACTCTGATTTCTTAAGCCACTATACAATAAAAAATCCAGACCAGCATCAAATTATACTTTCTTAAATTGTCTGGATTTAGTATACTCACAATGGAGGCCTCCCAACGTATGCTCACAGATTTGGATCAAAGTAGTGTCAATCGATCACAAATGTAATTAGTATGAAATTTGCCGACAGAACTATTTGCCAATGCTCAAGTTTAGCGGAGATATTTGCATAAAAAGAGGAGAACATGCACCCCCAAAGCTGCCAAATTTTTCATTTTCCAAATTTGATACGCATTTTTCACGCTTTGGATGCAAATACATCCGCCAAACGTGCGCATTGGCAGATAGTTCCATTTGCAAATTTGATACTAATTATATTTGTGATCTATTGACGCTAATTTGACCCAAATCTGTGAGTATTCGTTTGGAGACCTCCATTGTGTGTTTAATTAATACAAAATTCAGGGTAAATTCAAAGGGGTAACACAATATTTTTAAGGGTGCACTTTCTTACCCGGACGCATCTCCTGACAAGTTTTCCTCCTCCGATTTCCTTGCTGAAGTTGAAATGGGTCAAGAAAGCTCCGTAGGCAGCAACAGATACCGAGATCATCCAGGCCTTTGCTAAATTCCGCAAATAATACAATTTGCCAAATTGAGGTACCAACATTGTCTGCATTTCGTCAATGATGTCCAGCACGCAGAGCGGATACATGTTCATCATCCAGTCTGAAACAAAATCATGAAAATCACTTGATCTTTAGAAAGTCAAAAAAATTAAAAAATTTCAAAAAACTCGACTTCTCAGAAACTCCATCACTCGACAAGTCCACCTTCCCCGGATGAACCTTTCAGCTTCGACATTGTCGAAAATTCCAAGCCAGACAACGGCACAGGTAACGATGGACCAATTCGCGATCAAAATATTCACCGCTCTGCCAATTAGGAAAAATAGATATAATATAATAATATTAATAACAATAATAATATTAATATTAATATTATAATATTATTATTATATTATACTAATAATAATAATATTAATATTATTATTATTATTAATATTATTATTATAATTATATTAATAATAATAGTATATATGTAATAACAGGAAAATAGGAAAAAAATATTTAGAAATGACCTTAATAATAATGATACACTCTTAACAGAACACGGAGCCCATATGACTGAACCAAGTTGAACCAAGTCAATAATATTTTATCCCACATTTTGATAAACCTTCCCCACAATGAGTTAAATCCTCACTATCTAGTGTTACTTTTACACATTGTAGGGAGGATTTATCTTGGTTAAGTCATGTGGGCTCTCCGTTTCGCTAGTTTAATAATAAGTTTAATAATAGTTTAATAATAATAATATTATTATTATATTATATTAAGTTAATAATAATAATAATAATAATAATAATAATAATAATACTAATATTATTAAATTATATTAATCTTATTATGATAATAATACATAATTTCTTTTCATTCTTATCATAATGTATAATAATAGAAAAATAGGAAAACAAAAATATTTCGAAATGACCTTTTCTGCTTATTTTTCGCGAAATTCTAATCTCGAAACACAAAATCTCATAAAATCGTAACTTTGTTTAGTGAGATTTTTTAATTAAGAGACTTTCATAACCTTTCGGATAGAAAAGAATCTTTTATTTAAAAATCTAACCATAACCTCGTACGTATAATGTATATGTATTTTTGGACACATTCTCTTATAATTTTCCAGCCACAAGCATAATTCAGATAATGACTCATGTAATAAATACAAAAGGTACGAAAATATTTATCCCGCATTGTTATTACCTCCGCGGCCTCCGTGTCGTCAAAATGTTTGCGGCTAAATACGTATTTACCGCGATGCAGAGCGCACTTGTCGATGTGGTAGCGATTTTATAAAATGTGGTCATTTTTACACACGATTAATGCTCAGAGAAGCAAATTGGAAAATTTAATAATTGATGAACTGTGTAAGACGCCATAAATATTTCGCAACTGCACAGATTTCGCAATATGGCGACATATATTCATATGCGTCAGCAAACTTCCTTGGATACCTGAGAAACCGAATTTCGCCGACGATGTTTTCGCATAAGATCTAGATGACCTTCAAGAATTCGCGGAATTGAATTTCGTACTTACGATGTGCAAATACTTGTGTTGACATGGATATGTATTTATTTACCTGGATGAGTTGAATTGGCAAATTTTCGCACAGATACACGTATGTATTTTTCCCATTTTTACCATCAATTCAGTTACCACTTTGCATTAAAAAGTGCAATACCACTTTTCTACGACATTTTCAAGCATTGCGAAAAATTTGCAAATTCTAAATATGCTATGGACAGAATTCACCGGAAGTAAAAGGTAAATTCAATTTAACCCTTAATCAAAAATCCCCAATTTTTTGTATAACTAAAATCAACCGTTATTATCCCTATGTTTGTAATGCTTAACATAACCATCGGATAATTAGAGATTGATGCATTTTCTAATTATTTCATCCCCACTTATTGACTGGTAAAACATAAATTAACGTTTTCATTCTAATTTTGTCCTTAATTAGTAGAATATTACGCACCACGAATTTATTTATGTATGTGATGTGCATAAGTGCAAGTCCAAATTCGTTCGATTCATGCATTTCATAAGCTTCTGCCATGGTATATGACACCATTTATTCCTATCTTTGCAATTCTTTGGATTTTTCTGATGACATTCCAATGCAACTGAGCTTGAGAAGTGAATCTTCACCCCAAATAGTAAATGCCAGACTTCTTTAGGAGGAAATCCCATAAGGACGCTCCATGACAACGGCACGAAACCACTTTCACCCCTCCAGCCATTCACCAACGTTACGCTATAAAGAATCATATCATTGCACAGGTTGTGATTCAAGTTACAAACCAGTTTAATCGGACATTAATCACAAATCTTCATCCATAATTGTCCATTATATTTTTAAAATTTGCATATTTTTTTGGTACATTCACCTAGTTAGGCTAACAAGGGACACTCACGACCTGTCGTTTGAGTCCAGGGTACCCACTATGTTTATTAGAATCTACTGGGACCCAAGATGAAGGATTCATTCATATTTCCGTGTAAAACTCATATTTGGCGTCGTGTCGTGGCGCCAAATTCGCCAAATTTGAATGTTTTTATTTTTGAAACCGCCATAACTTTTGAAATCCTGGACGGATTTTAAAAATTTTTGGCAAAAATCATGACAAGGAGTTCAACTTCGTATTCCATGAAATTTTTTCCAAAAATATCGGTTTTAACTTTTCGCAAAATTTCGTAATTTTCTAACAAATGGGGGTTCGTCGAAAAAATGCTAAAAATATCTCAAAAATTAGAAATTTTTTGTTTTTATTTTTTTCTCAAAAATGTCGACTTTTGTGATCATTTTACGCATAAAATTTTGAAAATCCGACATAAACTGCGAAAGTTATGAAGGTTTGAAATTGGTCGAAAATGCAAATTTTTAAGTTTGGCGCCACGCCATGGCGCCAAATATGAGTTTTACACGGAAATATGAATGAATCCTTCATCTGGGGTCCTAGTAGATTCTAAAAAACATGGTGGGTACCCTGGACTCAAACGACAGGTCGTGAGTGTCCCTTGTAAGTATAAGACAATTTTACAACGGTTGAATAATATCTGCACAACATTATGAAAAAATAATCATTTTAAAAGAAATGAAACCGAGTAAATCTATAATTCAACGTTCAGTATGAAACATTGCATATCCGCATATTAATGGTACGCCCAGGGCGCTGTCCTGATCCTTATGCCACGCCCCTGCTATAATTTTGCCTAACGCCGCTGCCAATAATAAGTTTTATCGAGGATGGGCCACTTAACCTGAGAAATTTTCAAACGCTGGCGCGAAAAAACTGGCCCAACCTAAACAAACCCGGCCCACACTGTTTGATAGACCAATTAGTTAAAACTGTGATTTTTTTCTACTTGAAAATCTAAAAAAAACTGCTCCTCCCTGATCATTTTAAGTGGAGGTACTAGTGAAAAAATTTTCCAGCCAGGTTGCACCGGTAGTTTTAATAAAAGAGGGTTAATGCACATGGACATGAAATTTATTTGGCCTCAATTCATGGAATATTAAGTGTAGAAGGCGTTAGAAGGCAAGCAATTAATCAGGTACTGCCTACACCCCTAAAAAACGCCCCATATCATTATGGACGAAAAAGCCAAAAACGAAGCTTTACCGTTTGATCAATCAGGAAACCCCAAAGAGCATTCGCAGTATGGGGAAACGTCTAAAATCGAATCCCACAACAATTCGAAGTGTTATTAAAAGAGATTTGGACAAAGTGAAACCGAAGCAAACAAAACTGCATGAGTTAAACGAGCGTCATATCACTAATTTTCACTTTAAAAAAAAGCTGTTCAAGAACCACCTTGCTGGAGCTTGGGACGAGAAATCACAATCGACGAAGCTTTGTTCAGGGTAGATGACCTGAACGGGACAAGGCCAGTTTGCTGTACGTTGTGGAGAAAATGTACGAATTAGCTGAGATTCAAGATGGGCTTTGGAAAAGTTTTCAGGACTAGTGGTTAAAAATAATTCTTTAAAAGTGCCTGGAAATGTTTTCGTCAAGGAAAAAGCGGTTCAGACTTGTACCTGAGACTAAGGGGCATCATATCGAGCAAATTAATTATCATAAAAAAATTCATATGTCGGTAACAAAAATTGTTGAAAATTTCTTGAAATGTTGAAAAAGTTGCCCATCTTAGGTATTACCTATTTTTCAACACTGGAATCCAAAATAATTTATACTTATCGATCTAAACATTCTAATAACTTTTTTATACATCTCTCTAAATACCAAGTCTTAAGAAAATACTGCTTCCTTCGGAAATGTGACCAAGCATGTCGTTAAAGTGTCCGACACAACGTATAAAATCTTCAGGATTACAATTCTCTCAATCAATTTTGCGGAACCGACTTCCACCCCAAACTTTTTCAACGACTTCATTTCCTTCACAATTATTTTATCTCGATTAACCCCACTTTTTTCCGACTTCATCGAACTCAACAGCTTTTCTGAAGCCTCCCCCACAGACGATGTGGTTAGCACGGCCAGCATTAAAGCAATCGTACAGTTGAACAAGACAATGGGAAAGGGGGCGTATTCGAAAAGGCTGACTTGACCGTGAAATCGAATCGTGGCAAATGCCGAGACCAAAATGAATCCGCCAGGTCCCCAAAAACAGACAAATGACAGCATTTCCTTCGTGATGGAATCGTTGAAGGCAGCCACGAGCACGTGCAAGGCGCGATAATCACGAAGCTTCCGCTGAACCGATGAGTTCGAGTTTCTGTAAATTAAATTAGCACTTTAAATTCTAACGTATGTACAAAAAATGCAAACACAGTTAGCAAACACAGTTTCACGATCACTTCTTTAATAAAGAATTGATCGTGAAAGTTGAATTACATTTTCAAAATTTAGGTAAGTATACAATGAAAAACTAATATTGAGTACATACGTATTCATGACGAGTGAATGCCAAATTTTATTCGTTAGTCATTTTCCACGCTATCCTTAATACATTTATACATGAGGTATATTAAGAAATTGAACTATCTAATAAGTCAAAATTGACACAAATGAATAAAACATGAGTACTAAATTAATACTGTTGTCAAATTTTAAGTAAAAGAATATAATGAATGCATATGTACATATTATCCAATTTTTAAGTTTAATGCATTTTGAATAACCACATATTTTTTAACAGACATTATTCTTACCTGACCGCATCCGTACAGCATATCGCGACATAGACAGTGACCAATATATGAAATCCCTCCATCCCATCCAACAATGCCACCGAGGCCTTTGATAAGATTTCCAGCAGAGCAAACCCAGCAAAAACCAACGGCCTTTCAACTTCGTCTTTAAAGAGAGATGAAATGTATTGTGGCTTGAGTGGAACGATGAGATACATAACCGAAACCGTAGGGGTCAGACTGACGAGAATCCACAAAATTGCCATTATTTGCACCTGAAGCGAGTTATAACTCAGGACTATAGGCTTGCAAGACGACTCCAGACAGTACCTAGCTGTAATTAACAAGGACAGTGTGTACGGCATGACATTTGTATGGCAATCTGGGTACATATGTAGTAGATTGGAACGACTAAGCAAACAAGAAAATATTTCTATTTAGAAAATGTCTTCGTTAGTTTGTCCGAAAAGAAAGCGGGTTCAAGAAGTTCATCTGGAACCAGAACCAGACTCTAACCTAAGCATTTTTGAACAAAACAGATACCACTACGCGTAAAAAGGCCTGTAGAGAGTGGGCTGAAAAAGCGCACAAATCTAGGTGGCAGGACACTCATCTGTGTAAGCAGACCAAACTCTTTCTTAAGGAGCCATACCAGGCAAACTTGGGGAACATTGTAAAATTAAACCGTAACTCACTGCGCCAACTGGTTCAGGTAATAACGGGGCATCATACTTTGAACTCACATCTGTATAATTTGAACCTGGTGTCCTCCCCTGGCTGCTTGTGCGGACAGGGGAAGGAAACAGGGTATCACTTTATTACAGAGTGTGATTGTTTTGCGATGACTAGACTTGTAGTACTCGAAGGGCTTTATCTGACCTCCGAGGAATTACTTGAAATGCCGTTTGCCAGGTTAGCAAGGTTTATTGCTAAGTCTGGAAGATTTTTAAACGATCGCGAATGGCAGAATTCGCAATATTAAACGCAAGTGTCCTTAGGGGAGTCGGCAATTAGCCTTAAATGCGCTACCGCCGCTGGCCTGGCTGTCTCTATTAATGAGTAGTCTGGTCACCCCACATAGTACATACATACATACCATGGACTGAGGTCATTAATTGATTGATTGAGTGAAGTGTTTATTAATGGTGTCATATGAGCGTCAGCACGAGTACTGATT